CCCTGGGATCAACAGGACGTGCCCTATCTAGTCGCCGTCTCTATGGGACGGCTTAGGTCCTTCGGGACCGTCCAGCATCGGAGATATCAGCTGCGATCTTGGGAGCTCCAGATCGCACACCGTACCGCCGCGACGCCAGCTCCGCCTCCCAGCTATAGGGATTTTTGAATTGATTGTGCTATGTGAAGACATCCAAATTTCATGGTGGAGATCTGCTTGGGGTCATGGACCTTTGAACATGTTACTAAGTTAAATTTTCTGGAGTTGGTGCTTCTATAAAGCTGGATGTGGGGAAAACAGTTTAGCCTAGAAGAACAGTGGTGCTGATATCACAGGTTAGCCTAGAAGAACAGATACCACACATCTTCTGATCAAGGTGGACAACTTATGGCTTTCAGGAAACATGATCCTCTGAACCCTTTTCCTTGTGGTCTTTAGAGCCCCCAAAAATCACATCCTGGAATGTTGGCAGTAGAGTCATGGAAAATGAAAAGTGTGGTACTTGCTTGCTTCCTTGATTTATTAACTTATTTTATTTTATTTATTTCCTGCCTTTTTTCAGTTAGGCTGACCCCACCCACTGTAACTCTTGAATATCAAAGTATGCCAACCCCCCCACTGGAAAGTTGCCAGCCCCGGTTATCTATAGACAAGAAAGCAGTGGGTTTAGATTGTACCATAGCATTGTGGAAATAGCACTAAAATGACCTGGTGAAAGGAAAGTGATAAATATCCAAAGAAACATGCATACTAGATCCACTCCACCACCACCAAAGATGGATATTTGGATATTCCTCATTATTGTATCTCCTTTTTCTAGAGTGATGATTTTCTCTACTCCACTTTAATCCGACTTGGACAGTCTTTTCCTTCCAAATAAAAGATAAAAGTTTGAATCAAGATCAAGATCAACTCCAAGATCAACACAGGTTTCTTGATAGTGCTACAGATGTGATATGCCATTTCCTCCTTCTGGGATTCTTAAAAAATTGTTTGATTTCCCAGTCTAGCCAACAGTCCTGAAATTCCCAGGTAGACCCTCATCCAAGTACTAACCGGGTGTGATTCTGCTTAGCTTCCCAGATCAGCCTCAATTGGCTCTATGCTACAAAGTTCTGGAAGCCATGAGGAAAAGCAAAGGTGGAGAGGTTAGTAATATCAGTAATATTATGCCTCTTTGTTCTGCAGAGCTTTGAAGGTGTTCCTTTCTCGAACAGTTCAGCGCATTCCATATATGACAGGTGGGCGAGTGATGAAGATGCTGGCTGTGATCTTTTTGGTTGTGGTGTGGTTTCTGACAGGCTGGACTTCAGCAGTGTGTGAAAACTTGGAGCGAAATATTTCACTCATCGGCCAAGGGCAAACATCAGATCATCTGATCTTCAATATGTGCCTGATCGACCGGTGGGATTACATGATGGCTATTGGTAAGATGCCATGGTTGTTGTTGATAACAATGAGAATGACCGTTTGCTCAGCTGTTTTTAAAGATTTTTTTAAAACATAGTACTCTTTTAAACAAAACACACAGTGATATTGTCAAATCTCATAAATATAATTAATTGCCTGTACATGTTTACTCGGAAGTAACTCTTAATTTCCTAAATGTTACTCCCAAAGATTACACAATTTTATAGCCTTAAACTGTTTGTTCACATGGTACTCTTTTGTAATTGAAAAAATAATAATTTAGCAGAAGTAAGTGATAGAAAAGGACATTTGGACTTTGTGACAGTTGAGTTTGACACATAGAAGCTTGTATGAAAATATTAAGCCTGCCCAGTCTTTGAAAATGTCAAAAGAAGTGCTTTGGATCTCACACAAGCACAGTATCTCTGTTATTCATTAAAGCAGTCCAACCTTTTTCAAACTTCTGCACATGAACCTGAAAAAAAGATGCTGTAGCTTTGAAGAATCCACTCATTAAAGTGAATGCAATTTTAAAGCAATTGTTTTTTTTTCCCCCAAGCCATGAAAAAAGTGAGTTGTATCTTTTTGAAGCCGACTCATTGAAATCAGTGGAACAAGTTAGTCATAACTAGTTTCTGTTTCACTGATTTCAGATGGTCTAATCTAAGCATGATTAAGTTGGGGATCCAATTCACTGTGACTAAAAAATTCAGAATTCATTGGGCCAAAGAAAGTGTTGAGTACTTTCTCTTTTGTGATATATATAACTGTCCATCCAGAGAACAGTGAGGATTCTACTATGTCTCAGTGAAGGCTAGAAAAATTATAGGCCTGGCTATGATATGTGAACTTCTTTTCTTTCTTTTTCTCAAGCTTGACACTACTTCCTATTCGGTATATTAGAGAAAACCAACTCAAACATGGGGTGGCTGAAGAGCAATTGTAGTAGTCTGCATTGAGTGGTAATATCTAACTAATTTTTGCTTTTCAAAAATTTGATCCACCACGTATCCAATAAACAAAGCCTTCTGTTACAATGTATAGTCCTCCCTCTTGGAAAAATTCAGACTTTTGCTGAAAAACTGAAATTACTGGCAAAATCATTTTCCCCTTTCTGCAAGTGTGACATGTATGCATTATCCATGCATATCTCTGATTTCAGGTTTGCTTATTAAAAGAAAAAGCAAATGCAATAATTTACAAACAAATGATACCGTAGTACACTGTTTTTCAGAAATAGTGAAATAAAATGTACAGCCCGTTTTCCAGACTCCTTGTTTCAGTTGCACAGGTTAAACCAAAAATTTAAACAATATAAGATTCAACAAATATGATTGCCATTTAGATGTGGACTTTCTCGTTAGGGTACATAGTAGATTTAATTAGTGCTGCCATTTAGGTGAACCAGCTTGAAAAAAAAATGAACCAAGTCTCTCTGTTCAGTTGTAGTTCTCCTCCAGTATATTTTGCAAACATTACATATGTTCCATAATTGCTGAGTAGATTTATGGTATGCTCCAGTGATTTAGTAGAAGAGCTGAACACATTAATCAATTATTAGGTGCAGTTACCCAATTACTGACTTGAGAGTAAACTGATAATATATTCTCTGATTTAAACATCCAACTGGTTTCTGGCAACATCACCAAGATGTCTTGATGGTCTTGTTGGCGTTTGGTTCAACTTTTCCACCTCTAGATAATTCCACTGGTGAATGGGCAAAGGCAGGATCAGTTTATGGAAATTGGGAGTCCAATGCAGCACCAGGTTTGTACCTGTACCCCCTTAAATACCAACGTAGATTAATATTGCTAATGGAGTTCTATAAAATGAAATAGTAAAACTATGTATTCAATATGGAATGCCTACAAAACTCGTATTAAAAATTAAAGATGTTTGCAGGAGAAACATTTTGGACACAAAATCTAAATACTTACCATTTTATTTTTTTTTCATGTCAAAATTACCTCTTAGGTTTTTATCCCATCTTTTTTATTCAGGAGCTCCAAGTGACACACACAGCACTCTTTCCTCTCATTTCCCCCCACAACAACAAACCCTATGAAGTCAGCTGGGCTTCATCTTTAGAGAGAGACACACACTTTCGCTGGGAGAGAGAACAGAATTGCTTTTATTTTGAAATGCTCTTTTCCTTGCTTTTTTTCCTTGACACTTCTACAGCAATTACTTCCATTTCAGCTACCCAAAGAGAACAAAAACAAAATCTATCACTACGAGAGTCCTCCTACTCTATAAGTCATATCTCAATCTCCATTTATTCCTACCCTATTTCCTGTCCTTTACTTACATATCTATCCATGAGAAGCCTGTCATTTTAACTCACAACTAATAAGCTTCCATGGGGGCCTTGGCAAGGGTCTTTAAGATAGAAAATAGGATGAAAGAGTAGAATGTCTGTTCTGCAGCTGCTGGGCTTGCTTTCTTCCCCAGCCTTGGTCAATGGCAGGGGGCCCAGAGCAGCACCGTAGACTTCAGCCTCAATTCCTCCTCAGTCATAACAGGCAGGAGGTGTCTGGCTGGGGCAATGGGGCAGCAGTGCAGCTGGAGTTTGGTCAGGCAGTACCACGCAGGTGAGAGCCACAGGGCCTCGGCCAGCGTGTTTCCCATGTCTTCAACCACAAGTGCCAAAGCGGATTTATTGTCTTTCTTTAGTCTGCGTAGAAGCCACCTTTCCTGCTTGGAAGGTCCTACCTGTTTCTCCTCTGCCCCCTTCCTGAATTCAGACTGCATAGGCAAGGAGGCAGGAATGCAGAGATCTTGGCTGAACCAGGAGCAGGGCAAGGGCAAGGAATTAGCAGCAGCCACTGCGACAGCCACTGTGACATGCAGAGTGCTGGGAAGGAGAGAGGGGAGGGACCCTGCTTAGATGGCTCCCACTTTTGGGGGCCCAGCATTCTGTAACTTCCTGGACCCAGGGATCATTGAAAGTAACCCTAACCCTAAAGGAACCAAAGAGAAACTCTTGTTTAAAAACTGGTTGGCTAAGGGGAAGGAAACACACCTCGTAAGGCGAATTAAAGACAGATTTCATATGGCTGGAGAAGAGTTGTGTAGGATAACTAGAGATAATCTTTTCTCATTACATCCCACCCTTTTTAGACAGTCTGGCTGTACTACCCCAGAAATCAAGCATAAACAAGATGGCTTAAAACTATAGAATGCAATGGGGTAAGGTGGTGCAGGAAGTAAATTGTATTTTGTTCCCCCATACAGTTTTTAAAATTTTTATATATGAAGTTGATCCCACATTTTTGTACATTTAAGAATCTGGGAACGGTTCTACACATCTCATTGGCCCAGAGTGTTTGAGGAATGTCTTTAAGAAATGGAAGAAAAGAAAAAAAAGATTTAGCACCGAGTATATTGCCTGCTTGCTGTTTATTGATGTAGTGCACAAGCTTTTTTTTTAATTTCGTGGACTGCATTTCCCAGAACATAATCTCTTGGGGACTGCATAATCAGTTGGGCCAAAGCATGAGTGGGTGAGGTAAAGCAAAAACTTTGTGGGAACATTCATTTTCTATCTGCCATGTCCTTTTCTCTTTCTGACATCTTCTTTCTTGATCAAGCAGCTTTGTGGCAGGGGAGGGACTGCTATCTTTTTTATCAGAGAACTAAATTGATTTCTCATAGAGGGCTTACAAACCCAGTCCAGACCCACAGTAAATTAAGCCAAGAGCCTTTTGGCTATAAGTTGCTCATTTTAGGTTTACTGAGTATATCTCCATGGGGAGATGCAAATGATGCCAATTACATCATATGTATCATTATGTCATGAAGACACAACATCACAGGGCTTCTTCCAAACATCTTTGTTAATACAGTATTCTTCTACTTGAAAAAGGCAGTGATGACAGTAAACAGAAAACATTGCATTGTGATGCTGCCATGTTAACTTCTGAACTGACAAAGCTGCATATTTAAACATATTCAACTTCTTTAGTGACAGAAAATTAAATTGTTTGAAAAAAGTGTTATAATATTAAATAATATGTAAAGAACAAAATTCAGTTTAGTGTGTTCTTTTTTAATTTCACCTGTTCAAGTTTATAATAGACATAAAAGCAATGGCTTACAAATTGTGTTTTATAAAAAATATGAAGACAAGTTTCAATAGATCTAAATACGCAACAAATTTCTGACCCATAAAACATATCTTTGAATACTCCTTTCATCTCATCATGAATATGTCTTCAGCTTCTGTACTCCAACTAAGATATCTGATTCTTTGATTGTGTTTCTCAAGTTATATTGGAGTGCACAGCTAAAAATTCGAAAGTGATGTGAGAATGTTGCTTTTATATATGTGTGTGTGTGTTTGTGTGTATGTGTCAGGAACAGTTATAATTAAGCTTTCTGCCACAAAGAGCAGGAGCAAAGAGAGATCTGAAAAAGATCTATTACTGTAATGTTAATGTTATTACAGAGTCTTGTTTAATGTTATCTAGGAAGCCAAAATTCTTAGAAGGGCTGGATAAGAAGGATCTGAATTAGGTCTAGTATAAATTTAGTGCTAATTTAGCCTAATGTGCTTGGCCATCCAAAACTGTGCCATTACAGTACAGCCAAAAAAAATATTTTTTTTTGAAATGTAATATTCCCTCTGACTGCTACAGCTACAAATAGATGCTATGGTCCAACTCTTCCACACGCTCTTCTTTGCTTTTTTACCACAGCCTGATGAATTTTGGAACATTTAACTATAAATGTATTTAATATATTTCTAGATAATTTTCTTTTTAAAAAGGGACTGGTGTGAAAACAGAATAATGGATTATCAGTTGCAAACATAACATGCAAATCTGGCATATTCTCCAACTTTATTGGAGGACAACCCTTTATCGTTATCTTAATTGTTTTGTTCCCTGACTTCAAGTCACACATTTTAAAGCAAAAAAATTCAGGAAATTAAGGAGTTTTTTAGTTAGATACCATGCATGTAATATGATTGAGCTTTACACATTATAAAGAGAATAAATAAAATATTAAGCAAACT